ACCATAGTGCTAAGGTCTAACACAGTATTGTGGGGATTAGATTTATTGACTTGTGGAAAGGCCCAGTACACTGTAAGTGCTGAGTCATTTATACACATTGATTTCTCTGTAAGTGAGTGTTAGGAATGCAGCCGTGCGTGCAACCGAATATTATTGTTTGACTTTATTTGTCACCCCTGGTTGGAAAGCAGTATCTTGTCACCGAATAGGAGATGGTGCCTGGAACTTCGGGAGACTGCCCACAGTGAGCCAGCAGCCTACTTACCGGTGTCTTTTTGGCTGGTTAGCTCATTGCCTGATCGAGTCCAGATAGCAGGTTTAGTCTCCATTCAGGCAAGTTAGTTCTGGGCCTTGCACTAGAGCCCTAGCTCTCAACCTACTATTTGGAAAATGATAAATTAAAAGGAAGACCAAGTGGAAAACTTTACGTGGGCCACCACCATTCGTCCCCACCATAGCATCAGCAATCCATCCCTCATGGCATATTGACTGCAGGTCTCGATTGCATTATAACAGGAGGGGGTTCCTTTCTATTTCTGTCAGAGGGATAAGATAGCAAGTACTGAGTGAATTGGCAGAGTCTGGCAGCCAGAAAGCTTCCATATGTAATTAGTTCCCACCTTACCCAGCGATACTATTGGATATAGTGCTGAATGTGCCAATAATTTGGCATTGCTGTAGAGTCTGATGACATATGCCTTAAGGTTTTAGATTGATTCAGATTCTGCACTGGCTTACTTCAAGTTGCTAGGATTGGGGGTTTGGTAGGTTAGCCGTTAAAATCTTTTGGAAGCTTTAGATTCTGTTTCACGCATTTTATATGATTCAGATGAATGATGAACTACAGCTTACCTTGGAGGCGTGTGCTTCATATAGCTGTTGTAATGTCCTTCCCAGCACACTCTTGGTGGTGTTCATGAGCTGCTTACTCCTTCTCCAGCTTCTGGTTGTAGAGTCTAGGTATAGGGACTCTAACCCAGTCTGTCTGCTTTCCTTGTCTTGCTTTTTAGGTAACTTATAAAAGATAAACCTAACAAAGGAAATAATTACAAATTACTAACGTTTATTGACTGCTCCCCTGGTGTTAAGCACCTAACATATCATTTTACTTGTGTTTCCTAAGCCTAAGGAACTTGCTCCAGCTTTCTGCCTCTATTCTCACCTTTACTTTGCTCCTTCCCAGAGAAGGAATTGCGAATCTGACGGGACACGTCTCCAGAGAGTAACCAGCCCGGCAGGGAGGGTCCCTGTAGGGGAAGCCCATGTATGAATTGTACCCATTGACCGTGGCTCTCTTCTGTTTCCACAGTCCTTATGGCTGCATTAGGAAGAGGCCAAAGCCCAGGGCTGAACTGCAAAGGCCTTGGATGTGTTTTTCTCTTCTGCCCCAAGTGCTTGGCATGCTCATCTCTTTGTAGCTGGCAGGCTGGGTCTGAGATTGGGTCTGGCATGCAGAGTAGATGGCACCTCCCTTGAGCCTCTGGCCTAGGCCACAATCTTCAGCTGTTTATCAGACTGCCCTGCACTGAGGATTCAGGGCCAAGACCAGCCAATCAAGTAAGCACTTTGCCTTCTTTACTCTTATCTCCTGTTTGTATATCTTCTTCAGGTATTTCACAGGGAGGAGCGGTGGTTGGATCATGTAGCCCAGGGCTTCTCAATGTGCTGTGTTCACATTTCAGGCCAGATCATGCTTTGCCACGAGGGGCTGTACTGGGCATCACAGCCTCCCTGACTATTAGACGACAGTAGTACTCCTCAGCTCTGCCAATCAAAAATGTTTCCAGACAATGTTGAAAGTCTCCAGAGGGCAAAGTCACCCGGGTCTAGCCAAATACTCTCTAATAGCAAAAATCCCACAGTGAACTGTCAAATACAATGAAGCAAACATTCTAATGCATTCACTATCGCCACACGCCAGTGTCTCCCACTGCCCGTAAAAGCTTCACATTCCACGCTTGCTTCTATTTACATGAGCTCTTTCCCGCCCTGCGCATGCGTTCTTACTCTCAGCGCAGGGTCCTCACATGTGGCAGGAAACCTGAGATTATGCTTTGCTGCGGGCCTGATGTTGCTCCGCCCCTTGACTCTCACAGTGAGTTGTAGCAGCTCAAGGCTGCCTCCCTGTCTGCTCAGTTCAGCATTCCCTCTGACGGGTGTTGCCAAGTGAGATGTCCATTCAGTTGTGGCAAAAATACATTTTATGTGTCAATCACACTGTGGTGGCCCACCACTGAAGGGCTGGAGAACTCTCAGTGTCACGACATACCAGATGAGAACTCATGCTTTTAAACATTTTTTTGGGGTAACCATTTCCAGTTATATTCTGAAGACTCCTGAATCTGTTTGTAGCCCAGACCTCTCTGCCGAGGTCCAGAGAAGCCTACATGCATACATGTCCCAGAGACCTCCAGCTCCATATTTTTGAAACCAAGTTTATAATATTTTGCTCCAACTCTGCTCTTCTCTGCAGCTAGGGAACACATCCGTATGGTCAGAGAAGCCAGCAATATAGAAGTCTTTCTTAACTTCTCCCTCTCTCCTACGACCCTCAGCCCACTTGCGGGCAAGTTTTCTCAGAGTGTTCCTTCCTCTCTCATTTGACTGCCATTTCTCGAACGAGGGTCCACACATTGCCTTGCCCATAATGTGAGTCCTATTGGTCTCCATGACTCTAGCTAGACTGGTCTCCATTCAGCTGGCCTTCAAAGTACCGCCAATGGGCTTTCTCAGATATGAACCTGACCACATCACATCCCTGCTTGAAGGTCTTTAGTAGCTCCCTTTGAGGGTCGAGTGTGGACTCTGCAGCCCAGCACATGAAGCCTTTCATGACCTGGCCATCGCCTCCCGCTGAGCTTCCCTCTCACCATCACCCACGTTCTCCTGAAGCACCAACAACACTGAACTGCTTCCATGCCCTCTCAGTGGCTTTTTGCCTTTTTGCCCCTGTACCTCCTCACTGCTCCCTCTTGGGCCTGAGATGCCCTTGCAGCTCCCTGGTTTTTCTGGGCAGCTCACCTTTGTTCTTAAAACTTAGCTCAAAACTACTTCCTCAGAGAAGTTTTTGGGCTCTATGCTCCCCAATGGCCCCATCTATGCCCTCACCCCATAACTGAGCTCCTGGAGGGCAAGAACCATGTTTCGTTCATATCTGTATTTTCTTTTTTTTTTTTTTTAAAGATTTTATTTATTTGACTGAGAGATAGAGAGAGCACAAGTAGGCAGAGTGGCAGGCAGAGGGAGAGGGAGAAGCAGACTCCCCGCTGAGCAGGGAGCCTGATGTGGGACTCGATCCCAGGACCCTGGGATCATGACCTGAGCCGAAGGCAGACGCTTAACGACTGAGCCACCCAGGTGCCCCATATCTGTATTTTCAAAACTCAGCACAGGGCCTGGCATGTGCTCAGTAACTGTTTGCTGAGAGACTGAGTGAGCGTATCTGTGTTCTCTAGCCTGAAGTTTATGCAAAGCTTGATCCCGACCATAATGTCAAAACTAAACACCTTAACTGAAGAGTGAAAAGGAGATCAAAGCTTTAGAAGAATCCATGACCATGATGTGATGCTGTGCTTAGTCTCTCTGACACTGTGAAGGAGGCCAGTGACCTAGTACCCACTCCAACAGCTGCCTTGTGCTGCCTAATAAAAAGGTTACCCCAACAGTGCTGTGTTCGATCAAGCCCTCTTTCTCCTTCTCATAAGGGGAAGAGCAAGCTCCCATGTCAGACAAAAAGTAATCTGCCTTCTCTCCTTTGTCAGTCTCTAAAAGGATGTTGGAAGGGTTCTGTTAGGAAAGGCGCAATGCAATGAAAGGAAACTGCCAACCAAGAGAGGCTGTCAGTCCTCCCCCTCCTCTGTGGCCACCAGCAAATCAGGCTCACTAGGGGCTGCTGAGCTCTTTCTCAGGGGGGAAGCTCTCCCACCCAGGAGCCTGCCGCTATTTGGATATTTGGCCCATTTACACACTTCAATTTCCTCTCTTTTTAAAAGGGAGAGGCAGGGTGGAAGATTCCTTTGGACCTTTACAGTGAGCCGTTTTGCCTCAGATACTCTGGCTTTCTAGCTGCATGTACCGATCCGCACATTTCATTTACCTACCAATCCACAGCTTCGCCTTCTTCATTCCTGCACGATATTGTTGTTGCTTCCAGGACCCCAAAGAGGCCAAAGAAGAGCAAAGCAAGGGCTGTTCTCCGAAGTCTTGCTGTCATGTTTTATCTGCCACCTTCACGCCATGCCACAGCGGGAAACCTGCCCCCGAGACTGAGGACTCCGAGTCTCAGGTCTCTCTCAGTCCGTGCTGGCGCTGACGTTTGGATTCCATTTACCTCTGTTACCGCTGTTCGGGCATTTTCAGGACAGGGTGAACTTCATGTCATTGTGTGGTTCTGTCACAACATGCCAGCGTGACTCCGGAGGCTTTGGTGCTGAATTGTTGACTGTTTTGCAAAGTCATCAGAAGTTCTGGAGAGAAAAACGGGATATATAGTTAACTCTTCGGAGTGAACATCATGTAGTAGGAAGTTCAGTAGGCAGGGGAACTCCATGTTGATCAGTAGATGTTGAATTAAATATATTTCATGTTTTTCCCTCACGATGGCCCAGGAGTGAAAGCAAATGCTTGTCGGTGACGCACTGAGCAGAAATGACGAAACCTTATGTCTTAGTAATAGTTAGGATCTATCACTTCTAATACTCTCAGTCTTAAGTGAACATTCCCTAAAGTGTACTTCAAAGGGTTGCCTCAAAGTCAGAACAAATTTAATTGTATTTTACCAAAGATGTTTACACATTGTCTCCACCTCTGGTTTTAGCCACTCAACGTGGTCCTTTCGTTTCCCAAGAACCCTTGGTGTCCAATTGGTTTTAATGCAATCAGGTAAACATATTGACTGCTCACCCTTCAGGTCAGATAAAAAATGTTAGAAAACATCTGTTTTGCCCAAACTATTCTTTTTCACTCTTGAAACTGAATTTGAAGTTGAAGGCCAAGAGAAAATGGCCCATTACCACAATGACTATAAAAAGGTGAGACCATTCTCTTTTTGGAGGAGGGAAGGGAGTAGACAGGCAAATGAAAAGAATTTCTTAAATTGACTCAATTATTAAAGATGCTATCATAAAAAGTAGCACTTTACCCTCTGTCTGGAAATCATTATGGCTCTGATCTGTCCCTCTGAATATGGATCTAGATGAGTCACTTAGGAGCCCAGACCAAACTGGAATCTTGCAACTCTGGCTAAGTTGGAGTTTTTCAGGACTCAAGGTTCATGGGAAAGTGAGGGGTTAGGGCTCTATTTCTCTAAAGACAGAGTTTTGTGAAGGATGTTTGGACCACCCACCCACATTTTCCTGTGGTGCTTGCAAAACGGGCAGAATTCTGGGCTTCAGTGCAGACCTGCTAACTCAGAATTCTTCCACTTCGGCTTGGGAATCTGCATTTTTTTTTAAAGATTTTATTTATTTATTTGAGAGAGAGAGAGAATGAGAGAGAGAGAGCACATGAGAGGGGGGAGGGTCAGAGGGAGAAGCAGACTCCTCGCTGAGCAGGGAGCCCGATGCGGGACTCGATCCCGGGACTCCAGGATCATGACCTGAGCCAAAGGCAGCCGCTTAACCGACTGAGCCACCCAGGCGCCCTGCATTTTTTTTTTTTAACAAGGTTTGTGGTGATGCTAGTACACCCTAAACTTTGAGGCTCGCTGCCCTGAGCCAAGGCTGTGCTGTATCTGATAGGTTTGCAACCTATCAACTTGGTAAATAAAAAAAAAAAAAAAATTCTCATCATTTCTCTGTGGGTATCATTTTGTTTTATGTATGTTTTTATTGCATTAAAAAAAAGGATTTCAGCAACTGTAAACTTTTCATCGAGTTTTAAAAATTTCATAGCATGAAGTTTATTTTTCTAAGTTAAAATAAAATAAAATTAATTTTATCTTATGATAGCTTTTGTATAAAGGTAATAGCTGAGTACCCTAGGCTTAAGATTCATTGATGCATTTAGAGAATATAAGCAACTTGTTTTCAGTTATGTAGGCTAAGGAACGTTTGTTGAATAGGATATAAAATAATTCCTGTTTTCTCCTCATTAGATGCTTAGCACAGGGCCTGGCCAAAAGTAAATGATCCACAAATGTTAGCTAAGATTATTTTTACTACAACCTGAGCCCTTCCTGCGGTTGGGCCGGGGGACATCTGTATTAGGATGCTATTTGCTAAATCCACTTTTGTTTCAAGGCCTGGAAAAATGCTGTTAGGTTACTTTCTTTCAGATATAACTTTCAGTTAAGCTTTCTTATCTCCAGTTGTTGCTGACTTGATCATGCTGATTGTCAGTCTGACTTTTCTTATGCAATCACTAGGTATCAAACCCTGTACTGGACATTGAGGGGCTCCAGAGATGTCAACATTACCCTAAAGACTAGATTCCAGTGTGTCCTGGTTTTTGCTAAAAACAGTGAAGTAATGTGAAAGGAAACTGAATTTGGTGGATGGAGAAAATGCAAACTGGATAGAATGGTTTTCACAATATCCACTTTTGAAGCCCAAGTAGTAGAAGGTGACAAAAATACCACAGATCCTTCACAGTACAATTACCTCTAAAAACAGTAGAAAACCCCTTCATTATAATTTAGCCGAGTATAGTGAACAAGGTAGAGTTCTTCACTTGGTCATGCGCTTCTTAGTTCATAGTTGGAAGTTTGCATTCATTCATCCAGTAATTCTGGAAGATCTCAGTCCTGATCTCCTTGAAATTGTGCCTCTTCCACTTTCGCTCTGTCATATCATCCTAGTTCATTTTATGTCTCTTGCATATACTCTGTCTCCTGTGTGTCTGTATTAATCCCGATTCTTTCTTTGGATCTATCTTCCAGTTCTCATATTCTCTCTTAGGCAACATTATTCTGTTACTTAATCTATCTCTTCCAAATAACTAATTATATTTCTTTAGTTGTGTTTAATCTGTTTCTTAATGCACCTAGTAATGCATTTCTAGAGGTTCTATTGGTTTTTTTTTTTCAAAATATTTTTCAAAATTTTCAGATTTACTTGGTCTTTTTTATGGTCTCTTGTTTTTTGCTCAAGAGAAGATACACTCTATCTCAAGAAAGAGATATGCTCAGTTCTTTTTTTATTTCTGTAAAAATATTAAATATGTTATTTTATATTTTGTGTTTGATAATTCCAATATCTGAAGTCTTTGCTGTTTGTTGTTTCTGCAACTCTCTCTCATGATACCTCGCTACCCTGTGTGCTTTTTTATTTTCAGCTGTGAGTCCATATTCTTTGAAGCCTTATCTGTGAAAATTTCTTGAGATTGAGATAAACTTGGATTTCTCCAGACCCTGGCCTATGCTGGCTTCACTGAAATTTGGTCATCCTTTGAGGGCTTCTGGAAGTCAGGCTGCTGGCTTTATTTTTTTTATTTTCAATAGCTTTTGAGGTATGATTTACATGCCAGAAAATTTATCTGTTTAGGTTTAACTTAGTGTTCAAACTTTTACAAGACTGTTGATGTCCTGAGTAAAATCTAGAATGTGACAGACTGAAGGAAAGAGTTGATATCCTTATTGTGGGAGGAAGAGGGGGACTGGAATTATTTTGATGAAAATTGATGAGACAAGCAACGTGATACAGGTATTTGTGAAACAAAGAATTATTTATGAAAAATGTTGTTAAAGGAAAACATAAGTAGAATTAATGGAAGAAGGCCAGAAAATGTTATTTTGTCAATTCCTATTCATCATTCATAGCTTTGTGGATGCCAGGCCCTCCTGGAAGCATCCTTGATCTCCCTCAATCTGGCTTAGGTATCCCAGGGTTCACTGTATTTTTTTCAATGGGAGTAATTATCACAATGTGTTCTAATTACTTGGTTATGTTTCTGAGCCTTCTTCTCAAAAGCAGGGGTCCTCAAGCCAAATCTGGCCCACTGCCTGTTTTTGTAAATAAAGTTTTATTAGAACACAGCAACATCCATTCATTTATGTATTATGTATAACTATTTACACTGTGATGGCAGAGCTGAGTAGTTGCAACAGAGACTATATGGTCTGCAAAGCCTAAAATATGGACTTTTTGATTTTTTACTGAAAAGGTTTGTTCTAGTGTGAAGGGTATAAACTTCTAATGTATAATCTCTATCAGGGCAGAACAATGCTTGCCTGGTTTGCTATTGTATATCTAGCACTTACCCTGGTGCTTATCACCTAGAAGGAGCTAAAGAAATATAGATGAATGAATGGGTTGAATGAAAACGATTTCAGAGGTTTCTATTCTGGGGTTATGTGGAATTTATAATGAATTAAATCTAAACAGATAAATAAAAATGAGTATGCAGGCAAAATCCAATTTTAAAGAACTTACAATGTTATGTCAAAAAGGCAGCTGGGTATAGTGAAAGCAATCAGGCAGGCCTGGGTTCCATGCCTGGCTCTGCCTCTCAAAAGTCTTGTGGTTTTTGGGGCACCTGGGTGGCTCAGTTGGTTGAGCATCTGCCTTCGGCTCAGGTTGTGATCCCAGGGTCCTGCATCAGGCTCCTTGCTCAGCGGGGAGCCTGCTTCTCCCTCTGCCCCTCCCCCTGCTTGTACTTTCTCTCCCCCTCTCTCCCCCCCTCTCTCTGTGTCAAATAAATAAAAAATCTTAAAAAAAAAAAAAAAAAAGCCTTGTGGTTTTGGCTTTTTTTTTTTTTTTTTAAGATTTTATGTTTAAGTAATCTCCATACCCAACATGGGGCTCGAACTCACAACCCCTAGATCAAGACTTGCGTGCTCCACCAACTGAGCCAGCCAAGCACCCCCACAACAGCCATGTGGTTTTGACCAAACTATTTAACCTCAACACTGTCAGCTTCCTTCCCTCGAGGTGAGGCTCATGATCTGTGCTTTCAGAGAGTGCTCTCAGGATTCAGTGAGGGGCTGTGTGCATAGCATCTGGCACATGACGAATACTTATTAAATGCTGGTTCCTTCCCTCCTTGTTTCCTGTTCTTCTGTGACACTGTTACATCTTTATCTTTGCTGATGGACTAAAAACAGTCTTTTGGTGATACGGGTTTAATGACCACAAATAAACCTACATCACTCATGTTTACAGTCGTCCTTGCCCAGATAAAAGTCAATGTTTGACTCAAATGGAGTGCCTGTTACTGAAGACTCGAAGCTGAATTTTCATCCTGCCCCCAAGGGCAATGAGCTTTTCATTCTCCCCTTACTTCACTATTTAAACATCCTAGCCATACACACAGAATTGATCAGAGCAGAGAATTCCCCTGCAATTTAAACCAATGACTTAAGTTCTAGAAAAAAGTGATGGCTTGGACTGGGGTCTCTCTGGGGGTTGATAAGTTCTGCTTGGTCCAGTGTAAGCAGAATACGGCTTTTCAGTCTTAGCAGGGCTCTGTCCACGGCCTGGGTCTCCCTGGTAGCCCTATAGCTTTGGGCAGCTCACTTTACATCCCTGATGTAGTTTCTTTTAAAATAGGGATTTTTCCTCTTCAATTGCAGGGGTTTGGGGAGGAATAGATAAGATAATGTAGATTCCAATGAATGGAATTTAAAAAATGGCATAGAAACTCAAGTTTGCATGGCCGTTTCCCTCCGTCTATATCCTTTCTCTCCCTAAAGAGTGGGCTGGCCGTCCAGGGGGGATCAGGACTCTGCCTGTAGTGGGAAAGAGCCTGTTATTCAGGGGCAAATGGGCGGGGTTCTCCTCCTGCCTTCTGTCACCAAGTAATTTTGTGACCTTGGCAGGACACTGAACCCCTAGTATCTCCCTTGGTCAAACTTGGATTAAAAATACCTACTTCACAGGGTCCTGGTAAAGGATCAGAGGGAATAATACATGCCCAGTTCCTGACACAGATGAAACCCTCACTAAATGGTTACTACTGTTGTTTTTATTCTCAAGACTTACACATTTGGAAAGAGGTATCTTTCAGTGTACGCATTTCAGTGACATTTTCTTCCCACCGAGTTCTTGGAGGTCTCCATCAATTCTTTGTTGTGGCGTTTCCAGCCCCCAATGCTAGAAAGCTGCTGAGGGCCTTGTTCCAGTCCCCAGCCCTAAGGCTACTGGCGCCATGGAGAGGTTGGCAAGAAAATTAGCATTTCCCCTGACATTTAGTGACTGAATTTTCTCTTCCTTACTAATAGGCGGAAGTTTGAAAATCACTGAGCACCTGTAAATAGAATCTTCGTTAGCTGACAGGTCACCTTCCTTCTACCATATTTATGCATATGACTTGTTAGACTGTTTTTGAAGCATCTGCTTGAAAAATCCCTTTAGAGTCACACTTTGAACATAACTCAGGGCATAGCCCTCCTTGATAGCAAAAATAAGCCACTCTACAGCCTAAAGCAACATGACATTTTCTACTAGATATCAATATTTTCCCATCTGACATTTAGTAGATCCTAGGCAGCCAAAAAAAAAAAGAAAAGAAATGAAAAGAAATACCAGCTGCTTCTAAGGTTATGATTCACCATTATTGTTCTTATCCTTATGTATTGTTAAGATCTGCCAAAGTGATATTGAGATTGTTCAGATGAGTACTCCTTTTTCTCGTATTAGTTCAGCATCTTTCTCTGAAATCTTTTTGTTCATGAATACCCAAGAAAATAGGCAAAGGACAAACCTGGGCACAGAATTGGAAGAACTTCTCCAGAACATTCCAAAGACAGAAAGAGAGGCCTGTCTCCACGAACAGTTCTTCCATCATGGTGCACTGCAACTGAGTTGATTTTTATACCTGTGTTGGGTCCTAAATAGCTAGCCCTTTTGTATTTGCGTCTGTTATGGAGGGAAGAGATGAGGCTTACAGAAGCTCTTCTAAGACTGAAGAGAAAATGTGAGTTATTTTTAAATTTAAAAAAGGTTTTTTTTTTAATCTTTCTTAATTTTTTTTAAAGATTTTATTTATTTATTTGAGAGAGAGAGAATGAAAGACAGAGAGCATGAGAGGGAGGAGGGTCAGAGGGAGAAGCAGACTCCCCGCCGAGCAGGGAGCCCCATGTGGGACTCGATCCCGGGACTCCAGGATCGTGACCTGAGCCGAAGGCAGTCGCTTAACCAACTGAGCCACCCAGGCGCCCCCTTTCTTAATATTTTCTACCTCAAATCCAACCACTGGGCCTTCTAGGGTTAACAGACTCCAGGCTAAGGACCCCTAGACCTGTAGTGACGGCCTTCATCATTTTCAGTATGGTCTGCAAATAAGAGAATGCTCACTATCTCATTACAGAAGTGAAAAATAAGATTAATTTACAATCTCAGAGAGTTCTCTCCAACATTACTTGCAGGTAAGTAATGATTTCTATCCTCTTATCTTTCAAGACATGTCTAAGAAATGGGGATTTTCCTTGTGTAGAGCCAGGTAAAAATTTACTCGGTCTGATGTTTCATCCAGAGTATTACTCTAGGAAATTGAGTTTCCTTTTGTAACTTTGTTTCCTGAAGTCACACAAGCCTGAGGAAGCCACACAACCAAAGTATGAAGGCAGAAGTAGGCCTTGTCATAGCAGCAGTCTTTCTGGATTGGCATGTAATCTGGGTATTTATCTCTAACAGTAATTGGAACTCTTTGATATAAAATTTGACATGTAGTTATTATTTATCAATGATAATTATGGCTAACATTTATTGAACACTCACTATTTGCCAGGCCCTTTTCTGAGTGCTTTGTGGTTTTTCCCACAGAATCCTCACAGCAGTCCTGAGAGGTGGGCACTACCATTATTCCCATTCTATAGATGGGAGAAATTCGCCTCCACGTGCAGAGCTAATAGGTGGCAGAACAAAGGTTCACCCCCTATGCTGCCTGATTCCAGAGCCCAGAGCCCATCCTCTCAGCCACCTGCCCACCCTCCACATGACAGCCACCTTCCTATCTTCTTGTCAGTTATCTTGGACACAGATCTCCGCACCACACTGTGCTTTCTACACCATAGGGTTCTGGCACCTATTTTTGATTTCTCTGCCTGCAGAACTGGGGGAAGTCTTACTGAGGAGAACAGCCTCATTTCTGGTCTGGACCCGTTATCCGTTCTGTCAGGTCCTGCCAAGAGACTCTCGGGCATCCCACACCTCTGTTGTTCCATTCTGCTCCGTCCTCAGATGGTTATGTCCTTTTTGTTCTCACTTATTACCCAGTAAATGTGATTACTCAAGCTTTGCTCTGGTGCCAAGGCCTGGTCGGGGGCTTGCTGAGGAAGGCTGACCTCTCCTGCACGTGTCATGCAGGAGCTCCATGATGGCTGCGCTGTGTGGAGTGCTCGGTCTTGTTAGCAACGTGAGCACTTTGTGCTGCGTCCCTGACTCTCTCTACACTCAGTTCTGCCCTTCCCAGGCCTTTTTTCTTCAGTCGGCTGTGCCTGTGATCTCTGGGCTGTGGCGATCAGAGAGCTGATGGTGCCTTCCCCACTTTCCCAGGAAGAGGAACTTCCTGCTCAGGGTTTGAGCTGACATGGCGATTCTGTATTGAAATCTTTGGGGTATTTTCATTAACTATTCCATGTCACCACACAAGAAGTGGAGGTGATGGTGCACCATTCATTCAGCCATGCCATATTTGTTAAGCACCTATTTATGTACTAGGCACTGCGCTGAGCACTGGGGTTGCCATGATGACTAAGATAGAATGGTTCCTGCTTCCATAGTCGCCCATTTTTTAACAAATCAGACATATGATGAGGCAATTGCAACATAATTTGATAAAGGCTCTGCTAAGGCAGTAACTCTTTCCAGAGCACATAGAAGAGGCACCTACTCCAGCCCTGAAGAAGTGGCATCTGAGACCTGAAGGGTGACTAGAAGAAGTTCGGCAGGTGAAGGGGTTGGTAGTTGGGCGGAAGGAAGAGAAAAGGTGCCCAAGGAAGAAGGAATAGCATATTCAAAGGCCTACAGGCAGAGAAAGCATGCAGAGCCTGGGCAAGCCCAATGAGCTCAGGAGAGCTGAAGCAGAGTTTAAATAGGCTGTGGCAAGACAGGCAGTTGGAGAGGTGAGTGGGGTTGGGGACCTAAAGGGTGGCTGTCATTGAATCTTTCTGTGTATCATGTAGGAACCACTTGCTTTCGCAGACTGAGCTACTGTAGCTTGGGTATTTAGTGGCAGGGCATAGGACTGAGGGGTCACATTTGTTGAGTTCTGCTGTGTCTTGCAGCTGATGGACGATCTTGGAGACCTTTGGTTCTGGCCCCTCATCCATGCCATCCAGGGGCCCCAGGCCAGCCAAGTGCCTCCCTCCCCCTGGTGGAATCCCTGTGGCTCAAAAGTCACGTCAGAGTCTTCCTCCGACTGCCGCCGGCAGTGCTCTCTCCTCTAAAAACTGGTGTCTTCACTCAAAGTCCCTCTTGCCATCCCTGCCACTGCTGTGCCCGCAGCCGGGCCTGACGGGGCCACTGTAGTTGGGGTGGCCCTCACGGCTCCGCGAGGTACTAGGAACTGAGCCGGGATGTTCACACTCACCAGCAACTCCTACAAGTAGGGTGGTTATCTCCGTTTGTACAGCCGGGGAAACTGAGGGCTCAGAGCCAACAAATTATTTGTTGCAACCACAGAGCTATAAATGGCAAGACGAAATTTGGACCTGGTCTGATTCTAAAGCCCCTGCAACCACAAGCGGTGACTCTTTCCTTGTCCGTATTATCATTCTTATTAAGATCCTTTAAGTGCACTCTTTGCGTTGTCTTATTGATCCTGTTCTTGAAGATGAGTCCCTCCAAAACTGGGTCAGAGGCTTTTGAGGGACCTCTCCAAGAGTCGTCCCTTGAATCAGCAGCATGTCCTAGCAGGCTCTGTCCCTGAGATTTAAGCCCGCCTCTCACACTTCACGATTCCTCCCCGGGGACCTGGTGATGCTTTACGTAAGCAGAGTTTGGGGCCGCTGTCAGCAGATTGCCTGTGTGCCATTAGCAGGGGAGGTTCCTTTGTGACCCTCCCCAGACTCCCACTGCATGTTGTTTCTGATTTACTTTTATTTTTGTCACTTTGCTTTCATTACCATTTTAATGTTCAATTTTGACGCTAACTAAAATAGGGTTTTCTGCCCCTCTGCTCCCTCCTGTTTCTTCTCTCAAACACCAGTAAAACCCAGGGACGACTCTTCTGAATCCTAGCAATGGGGATGGATGCATTCGCTAGCGAGAGCTCCGGCTCCAGATAAGGCTACTAAACAATCAGTCACCAGGCTTTTATTAAGTGTCTCTTTGCTAAAAGCATAGCTGTCCCTGCAGCCAGATGGCCCTGGCTTTGCCCTCCTGAAGGTAATCTGGACCCTGTCACTAATTACTCTTCTTCCCGGCAGCAAGTAGAAGAAGCAATTTTCAAATTGTTTTTATTGATCACACGGCATTTTCTCCGGAATATCAGTCAGTATAAAAAAGAGGATATAATTATTTTCAGTTAACATAGTCAAAACATGTTAATAGAGGAAGGGCAGTCTACATAGTGGTTCAGAGGACAAAATCTGGAGTCAACAGATCTGAGTAGGAATCCTTGGCTCTATCCTTCACTAGCTATGTGGAGTACAGCAGGTCACTTAAACTCTTTGAACCTCAGTTTCTCCCTCTGTAAAATGGGAGTAATACGAGTTTATAGAGCAGTTACTAGGATTAAGTTAGCAGGAATTAAATAAAACAGAGTAAATAGTTCGGTCCAGGAGACACTGTTATTGTTATCATTAGTTATTATGATCAAGAACGCCCTCTACCTGTCTGTCTTCAGGCTAGCTGGATATATTTTCAACTGTTTCTCGTAATTCTCTTTTCTCCGTTAAAGTTCCCATTTTTCTTCAAAGGTCGGATATAGTCTTGCTTTCATGAATACTCTTAACTCTCACCTTTTATAATTATGTGATTCAATCAAGGCTTGAAGAGCTTGGAGTTGACTTTTTGCTTTCGTTTAGGTTTCTTTAATAAGAGGACTGTGTTTTTGTTGTAGAATGATGAGGTGGAGTTCGTCCGAACTGGCTATGGGAAGGATATGGTAAGAGTTCTTCATATTCAGCGAGATGGAAAATACCACAACATTAAAGAGGTGGCAACTTCAGTGCAACTTACTCTGAGCTCCAAAAAAGATTACGTGCATGGAGATAATTCAGACATCATCCCCACAGACACCATCAAGAACACGGTTCATGTCTTGGCGAAGTTTAAAGGGGTAGGTGTCACTCTTCTTAGACGCTGCCTCTCTTGATGCAGAACTCATTGTACTATAACTTGAGGGTATTATTTGCTTGCTGCAAGTTCCCTTTATTTTTTTAATCCTATTTTTACATTTAAGCCACTAATTTTTAAAATTTCTATTCTAAAATTCTCAGCCTTACAGAAAAGCTTTTTTTTTTCTTTTTTCTTTTTCTTCATCTTAACCTCACTTCTCTTTTTTGGTTCTCAACTTACTACATCTTTTAGGAAGAGAATCCTACCTGACAAATTTACATGTTCTCTCTTAATTAGGATCATTGGCAAATCAAGGTCCCGGAGAATTTCAGAAGAGGATTTTATACATTTTTGTCATACATTTCTTTGATTCCTCTAGCTAATTTAGAATGGTGTACATTTATAGAAAAAAGTAGCATTTCTCTTCCTGGTGTTACTACAGAAGAGAATCTTGAGTATAAGATATATTTTGAAATATATCTGCCCAACTTTTAATGTCTTCCTAATTTTCCCAACTCCATGACCACTTAGTATCTGTATATTGTGGTAAGTGTACTCTTCAAAAGGGTCTTAGAGCTGATAGAATCTGCTATTTTAACACTTCATCTTCTACTTTCTTTAAGTGTGAGTGAAGCTGTGTTGGAGCACTAGCAGATTTCTGGGCAACTCAAGATAATTTCTCTCTCTCTCTCTCTTTTTTTTTTTGCACAGCATGCAGATGTTTATTTATTTATTTATTTATTTATTTATTTATTTATTTATATTTTATTATGTTATGTTAATCACCATACATTACATCATTAGTTTTTGATGTAGTGTTCCATGATTCATTGTTTGCATATAACACCCAGTGCTCCATGCAGAATGTGCCCTCCTCAATACCCACCACCAGGCTAACCCATCCCCCACCCCCCTCCCCTCTAGAACCCTCAGTTTGTTTCTTGGAGTCCATAGTCTCTCATGGTTCGTCTCCCCCTCTGATTTCCCCTCTTCATTTTTGCCTTCCTACTATCTTCTTTTTTTTTTTTTTAACATATAATGTATTATTTGTTTCAGGGGTACAGGTCTGTGATTCATCAGTCTTGCACAATTCACAGTGCTCACCATAGCACATACCCCCCCATTGTCTATCACCCAGCCACCCCATCCCTCCAACCCCCCACCACTCCAGCAACACTCAGTTTGTTTCCTGAGATTAAGAATTCCTCATATCAGTGAGATCATATGATACATGTCTTTCTCTGATTGATTTATTTCGCTCAGCAAGATAATTTTCCTATTTGCTAAGAAGTCTAAAAAGACAAGACATGTAGACTGGAAAACTTCTGTTCTCATGCTTTTGCATGAATCCACACTCAGAATGCATGAAACGAGCAGATTAATTGAAATATAATTTCTGCAAGGCCTTCCTCCCTGCTGAACCTTTCTCTTGCTAATCAGAGTGGCCCAGCAAGCATAAACATGGCTATGGACACAAACAATGAATCACGGAGCACTACATCAAAAACTAATGATGTACTGCATGGTGACTAACATAACATAATAAAAAAAAAACAAACATGACTATGGACAAAGGCATTGCTCTCTTGAAAAATTAAATTGAAAATAGGCTTTCTTCCTGAGCTATAGAAGAGGGCCAGGTAACACAGATGCCTGTATTTCCTGCACTGTGTGAGAGATGCAGAAAAGTGATGGAATGGACCTGGATATTAAAAACAGCTAGAATTTATTCATTCTATATAGAATGACCATATAATTTCTTATCCAAACCAAGACACTTTTCTCTTTTGATTTTTTTTTAAATTGAGGTATAATTGGCATAAAACTTTATATTAGTTTCAAGTGTACCACATAATGGTTTGATAGTTGTATATATGGTGAAATAAATGTTTATTTCTTGAGATGAGAACTTTTAAGATTTATTCTCTTAGCTACTTTCAAATAGGCAATACAGTATTATTAACTGTATTTGCTGTGCTGTTCATTATATCCCCATGACTTACTTATTTTATAACTGGAAGGTTGTACTTTTTGACTCTCTTCACCCATTTTGCTCACCCCCTCTCCCCTGGCAAACAGGATTCTGTTATCTATATCTATGAGCTTGATTTTTTTCTGTTTGTTTTTGTTTTGTTTAGATTCCACATATAAGTGAGAACATATGGTATTTGTTTTTTCCTGACTTATTTCACTTAGCATAATGCCATCAAGGTTCATCTATGATCTATGTTATCACAAATACAAAGATTTCATTTTTTACAGCTGAATAATATTCTATTATATATATATAAAATATACACCATATATATACCATATAAATATGGTATAAATAATAAATATAAACCATAAATATAAATAAATAAATATATATGTATATACACACCACATTTTCTTTATCCATTTATCCACTGATGGACACTTAAATTGTTTCCATATTTTAGCTATTGGAAATAATGCTGCAATGAGCATACATCTTTTTGAGTTAGTATTTTTGTTTTCTAAACTAGGACACTTCTGAGAGTGAAATAAGATGCTAAAGAGGCATAAAACAGAACTATTCTGGGGAAACCTATACAAATAGTCCACCTTAGGCGCAGACATAAATCGTCTATAGACTGTGCTAAGACCATAACCCATTGTCTAAAGATTATTACGAAGAATTTGTATGAAAGTAGGGAGCTGCTTTATGGGGTAGAGAGCTGGGGATGGTCCATAGAAGGCCTGTTTGCAAAGCAAAAAAGCAGAAGTGGTCCTACATTAATGTTTTTCCTTGGGAGACTGGGAGGCCCATTGGCCAATGTCATAAAGACACCAGAGCGTTTTGGAGTATACCGTGGTACTGTAGTTGGTGTGGGTGATGACTGAGCTCACCGTAAGGAGAATCTAAATGTTAAGTTTCATTTTGCTCATCCACTGACACATTTCTTCCTGCAAAACAGGTTTCTTTTAAAAACAGGATAGTCTCACCTGGTAATGGTGATCTATTAACTACATTTAGGAGACCTTGTGAAAAATCGAGATAAGGACCAATTCACCTCTCCAGAGTCTTTCAAAATCTGTATTTCTCTGATTCTAAAAAACATTTGAACAGGGAAGAGAACTCCATGGGTATTTAAAAATTATTTTTAAATGAGGCAGTTGTTTCTGGTCACTAGCATTTTGTTTCCTTTTACAGATCAAAAGCATAGAAACTTTTGCAATGAACATCTGTGAGCATTTTCTTTCTTCTTTCAACCATGTCATCCGAGCTCAAGTCTATGTGGAAGAAGTCCCTTGGAAGCGTTTTGAAAAGGTTACCTCAGTTATTTGTGCTCTCAGCTTAATTAAAGAAATTGGCTTTATGACATATGCTGAAATTTTACTGGAAACAATTTTTTTTTCTAATTTTCAGAATGGAGTTAAGCATGTCCATGCATTTATTCACACTCCCACTGGAACGCATTTCTGTGAGGTTGAACAGATGAGGGCTGGTGAGAAAATATTTTTCATGTTTTGATTCTGCAATAGCAATTTCAGTATTTTATTCTTCTAAACAATTCTGTTTATTAGCATTGAGGAAAACTGTAGAGAATTTTGAAGGCATTTAAATCTGAGATGGAAATGAGCATTGTGACTCTGGAGTACATTTTAAAACTATCTACTTTTTATCCTAGTGTAAAAATGAAGTAATACATTTTGCAACAAATCTAGGGGTTGAATGAAGTAGATCATTTTTATCACCTGATTCTGAGGTGAGGGAAAAAAAAAGGTCCAGGCTGACAAAACCCCAAATCTCTGAATTTTCTGGCCAGTACTTTTTGTACCACACCATGCTATAATTATAACAATCTTTATAGGAAAGAGCCAGTAAATAACAATCGAGTTTCCCTGACATTTTATTTTCATAATGAGACCACTGATATTATCATAATTACTATAGAATGAACCGCATTTAAATAGCAATGACAATTATATCATTCTTTCTATTTACTAAGAAATTTAAAACTTAACTGAGGAACATAATTACAATATGGACCTTGTTAGTACTGATGATTGAACTTAGCAAATGTCAAAATTCCCAAAGCTTGTCTCCCACTGCTTGATTGAGATGGTCAGAGCAGAGTTTAATAATTGGCTATGAGTTAGAGTAGAGGACCTCCAAGAACCATGGAGCCAAACGTGGTAGATAGGTCTCTATCTTAATAAAAAATAAACTTTCGGGGCACCTGAGTGGCTCAGTCGTTAGGCGTCTGCCTTCGGCTCAGGTCATGATCCCGGGGTCCTGGGATCGAGCCCCGCATCGGGCTCCCTGCTCCGCGGGAAGCCTGCTTCTCCCTCTCCCACTCCCCCTGCCTGTGTTCCTGCTCTCACTATCTCTCTCTCTGTCAAATAAATAAATAAAATCTTAAAAAAAAAACAACTTCATGATCATCATAAATTGAGAACATGAACTCTGAACTTTCTCCCTTTTCAATTATTCTTCGCTTTCGTCTCCTCTCCCTTTTCTCTCCTCTCCTCTCCTCTCCTTCCCTTCCTTTCCTTTGCTGTATCTCCTTCTCTTTCTTCTCTAGCTCTCTTCAGTAAGAATTGGAGGTAGCGTCTCAGAAATGTCAGAAATATTATAAAGTTAATAAAATATAAGTCCCGTTGGAGTTCTATTGGATAACACCTTCCCTTAGAAAGTTCTATTGTATTAGCTGTGATTTAATAATTTTCGCTATCTGTATTAAATTCCAGGAACAGCCAGAGCCTTCTCAGTGTTTAATTAACAGTTGTGTAATTATTGTCCTATAAAGGAGACTGAATAACTAGTTGTTAAATTAAGTTGAAAAGATAATGATTTTTTAATCCCCCAAATGCTTAGCCATGTGACATATTGACTTGCTGACTGAGCTATGAGTTAGTTGAAATGTAACTTTCCTTCCTTCCTTCCTTCCTTTCTTCCTTCCTTCCTCCCTCCCTCCCTCCATTCCATTCTTCCTTCCTTCCTTCCTTCCTTCTTTCCTTCCTTCCTTCTTTCCTTTTGTATGTGATTTTGGGAGAGAAAGAGAAAGAAATGTTTCCTGCCTCCCCAAGCCAGTGTTTTCTTACCCAGACCACACTGACTAGCCTCATAAAATTATAAACTCTGAACTGGCATTGTCCAGCAGAAATATAATGCAAGCTACATACGTAATATTCAAATTTTCTAGTAGTCACATTAGAAAAGAAAAAAGAAATTAATTTTAATAATATATTTTATTTAATCCAATATATCCACAGTGCCCCTTATATATGTTATAAATATCAATTACTAATGAAATATTTCACATTCTTTTTAAAAACTTAAGTCTTTGAAATCCTGTGTGTATTTTATATTTACAGGCCATCGCAGTTCACACTTCCCATATTCCAAGTGCTTAAGAGCCACGTGGGGCTAGCAGCTACCATATTGATTAGCACAGCTCTAAACCAAATCATAAGTGATTTTGCAATATTTAGAATATCCCTCTTTTGACTTTCAAGTATGTAAAATAATAGTAGGGGCTAGAATTAGATTTGGGGAGAGCTAACTAAAAAATGAGAACATGACTGAAATATGCTTATGTCATTCATTGAAATACTATTCATTCAACAATTGGATTTTGAGGACTTTTTATGTATCCTAGGGCTGTAAATTCAGAGGTGAAAAAGACATTGCTTGGCTCTAGTGAGTTTATAGTAGATGAATAGCAGGAGATAGACTTATAGAAAGATTTATTGCAATATCAGGGGCTAAAAATCACAATGAAGGAATCAAAGTTATGCGAGGGAGGCAAAGAGGTGCAAAAACCTAACTCTTCCCAGGGTAGTCTGGAAGGCTTGACAGGGGAGGAGGAAATATTCCAATTGACTTTTGAAAAATGATTCAGGATGTGCTGGGCATAGAAGGGGAAAGAAAATCACAGGTGGGAGAAATAGAATGTACGTGGGTAGGACCTATGCAGGAGTGGAAGAGGAAAACTAAAATATCTTGGACATCTGCCTTCTGCTGACCACCATCCTGGGCAAGTAATTTTTGTTTAAAGGGCAAAGCATTTGAGGAATAGTAGCAAGTTTAAAGGGTCTAGTTCTTAGAATGTAAAGAGCTGAGATGAAAATCAAGAGATTGATTTGGGCTGGATTTGGAAGGGCCTCGTGTAGCATGCCAGCAAGACTGGTCAAATTGGAGGCAGTTGTGCATGGTGGTAAAGCCATAGCTGTTGGAATCCAACTACACTGTATTTGAATCTGAGCTCCACTACTTAATAACTTTGTGACTATGAGAAAGTTACTCATGCTGCCTCATTGGTTTTCATTTGTGAGATGATGATAACAGTGTTCACCTGAATGGCCCAGAGAATTAAAGAAGATAAATATTAATATAAAGCATTTTAGCACAGTACCTGGCACATAGGAAACACTCCTTAAATGAAAGCTACTAGTATTATTATTTAGGATGGCCATAGAGACCCAGGAAAGGTCTTTGTGTGTGTGTGCATGTGTGTACCATTCAGTAATTCTGACCAAGGTTACTGTGCACTGCCTGGAGGAAACAGGCAGTAGTGAGAAATTTGGGACCTTGTTGCAGAGATGGAGAAATGATGGAGTCGGATCTCAGGCAGTGAGAGGTGGAGATGGAGAGGGCATTATGTGAGGCATTTCTGAAGGGTACTGAATGGGTGTGAGGGGTTGGGTAGGGGTGGAAGGTACAGAGAAGGAGAGGTTAAAGTTGTCCTAAAGCTGGGGGCTCGCAGGAACTGACTGAGGAGAACACATATGATTAAAAAGTGTTCAGGGGGAAGCTGGTGAATGAGACGAATAAGGGATCGAGGTAGATTTGGAGACCATCAACAGACTGACGGTGGGTGATGCTGTGGGCAAGAAGGAGCCATTTCAGGAAAACACTTGAAATGAGAGGAGGAAAGTGAGAGGACTGGGGGAAATTCCCCAATTTATGGGTTGGGCAGTCTGAAAAGTCAGACAGAAGAAAGGACAGAGAGAGAGAAGGAAGATTGGAGAGAGTGGTGTCATGGAATTTAAAGAAAAATACATTTCAAGAAATCAGGGACCATATTGGGATAACAGGATACACAACACACAGGTTCATATATAGTGGCTCCATACAAGAAGCTCACTGCTTTTTGTAAAAGTCCAGTTCAGTATGTGTGTGTGTTCGGGTGATGCTCTGCTCCAGGAAGTTATTCAGGAACCCAGGTTGATGCAACCTTACATTTTTTAATCCTTACTTTTTGGGGTCACCTTGAGAGCAGATACCCTTACCAGACAACCAGGAGAAGAAAAGAGCTTGGAGGAGCAAAAGGAGGAGGCAAAACCCCTCAAGCATAACACCAGGCCTGAGACTAGCGCACAGCACTTCTACTGGAGAGAACCCAATCACACAGCCACACCCAACTGCAAGGGAGGCTGGGAAATGTAGTCTGCCCAGGTACCCAGGAGGAAGAGGAAACAGATTTAGTAAACAGCAAGCAGTGTTTGCCATGGGAAAGTTCAGAAGTTTGGATTGAAAGAAGACTGAAGAATGTGCAGTTTGGCAAATGGGTCACTGGTGACTTCCAAAAGAATATTTTAGCAGGGCCTGGAGGTGCAAATGGAGTGGCCAAGTTTAGGGCTCTGCTGATCATAAGAAGAAAACCGTCTGCTCTTTACACCCTTGTTCGTTCCAGGAATTACCGGAAGCTATCATCAGCCTGAATTCTAGTCACCTGGTTGCTGCAGAATGGAAAAAGTAGTCACCATAATAAGGCGAAAGCTTTTTCTTTCTGCGGAAAGCCGCAACGCTTCAGGCTACTCCAGTTGTTATGGTGGTGTTCCCAGAAGCCCCAGCTTGACTCATCTAGAGTCCAGCGTCCCTCTGAATATCATGCAGGGCTGGCAGGGATCAGGGTAGGGGAAGAGGGATCTGTTGCCTTAAGTGTATGCAGTATGTGTGTGGACGCGTGTATGAGTATGTGTATTTGCCCGTGTTGTGTACATAAAAATGACATTTGTACTCTGTCCCTCTTTGGAAAATAAGGACCTATGATCTTAGGGTAGCAAAGTTTAATTCTTAATTTGCTTATTATCCAAGAGCTAAAACTGCAGGTATTTTGAGGTAAGTCAATGAACAAGCATTATCATAAGAAATGCCCTTGCATAGGCTTAACTGAAGAAAATAATCAGTATCTAGCCCCGCCCCTCCATACCCCAATTCACATGGCAAAGACTGTTGTTACAAACTTGTAAGTAAGGCTTTTGGTGAGGGGCTAGCTAGTTGGGGAGAATTCTGCCCACTCAAACACATGCACTTAATCACACATTCAGCCATGCAACTCCCAATAGGGACTCTTCCCAGCAGGATATGTAACTAATGGACTGGATTCTTTCTTATCAATTGAACACACACTTATAGAAAGCCTACTGAATCTCGAGCACTATTTTAGGCCCTAGAATTGCTGTAAAACTCCCATTACACTATTTTCCTAGTGGATCT